GACGCTTGCGACATTTGACGCTTGCAACATTTAACGATTGTAATATTTGACGCGTGGAGCATTTAACGATTGCGATATTTGACGCTTGCAACATTTAACGATTGTAATATTTGGCGATTACGATATTTGACGTTTGCGACATTTAACGATTGTAATATTTGACGTTTGTGACATTTGACGCTTGCAATATTTGACGACTGCGATGTTTGACGCTTGCAACATATAACAATTGTAATATTTGACGCTTGCGACATTTGACGCTTGCAATATTTAACGATTGTAATATTTGACGATTACGATATTTGACGTTTGCGACATTCGACGCTTGCGACATTTGACGCTTACAATATTTGACGATCGCGATATTTGACGCGTGAAGCATTTAAGGATTGCGACATTTGACGTTTGCAACATTTAACGATTGTAATATTTGACGATTACGATATTTGACGCTCGCGACATTTGACGTTTGCAACATTTAACGATTGTAATATATGACGATTACGACATTTGACGCTCGCGACATTTGACGCTTGCGACATTTGACGCTTGCGACATTTGACGCTTACAATATTTGACGATCACGATATTTGACGCGTGAAGTATTTAACGATTGCGATATTTGACGTTTGCAACATTTAACGATTGTAATATTTGACGATTGCGATATTTGACGCTCGCGACATTTGACGCTTGCCACATTTGATGCGTGCAACATTTGACGCGTGAGACATTTGACGATTGCGATATTTGACGCCTGTAATAATCAACGCCCAGAAAAGATTGAGTTCCCAACAAAGTAAACAGTTTCGCAATGATCAAATAATAACAGAAATCTTTTAATATCGTTTCATCCGACAGCTCGTTTTTATCGAAAATCCCTGATATAAACGTATTCAATAATCCCGCCGTTCCAGTTGCTCGCTTAATCAATTCAAAAACGTTAGCCAAACGAGTTTTACGTTCCTTGTCGAGTAAGACGTGAAATTTATTGGCCATAATCTCGAGATTTACTTGCTCCTCCATCTATCACCGGCGATAGAGTTGTTTGAATTAATTAAGCGCCATTATCTCTCGGCTACCTAGTCTCCGCGTTCCGTGAATTTTTCGCAAAATATTTTTCCGTCTTTAACGACGGTGGACGTCAAACGAGAGCAAACAGACGGAACGACAGACAAGTGAACGAAAAGGGAACAATGGAACGGCTCTAGGCAAAACAACTGGAGGCTTCGCGTTTTAAATTATGCAAAACGCTATGTCTGTGCTACGCGTGTGCTTTCCACGTAAGTTAGCGATGACTTTGTTGAGAATTGGCCCGAGTTACGTGAAACGAGCGCAACTCTGTTTGATATGTTAATTTTGTAGCCGCTGAAAAACAAGATGACCTTATTGAAACCAGTTCCGCATTTGTTCTTCCATTTCGGGGAAAGTTCTTTCATTTTGTAGACTCGTGGACTATCTGTTGACATACTCCAATTACTGCCTGTAGAACGTAACCCACATTTCGAATTGCTCTTCTTACGTCATTGAGGTTCCTCGTTTGAAACACCCTGTATACGTTAAAAATTTTAATTATAAAGTTTAAATTATTTTAATCATTTTATTTGTTAAATCACTTATTGTAATAAAAACAAAGAAAGTATTGAAGATATATTTTTTCAAACCATAAGCTCATGAGCGCCATTTTGCGTTGCTTTCATGTCACGACAGTTTGACAGACTTTGCTTCGAAATCGAAAATTTCGCAGTTTTACTATTTGCGAGCTGTGACAGCCAGCCATTAAGGACGTTGATGGATCGTTGATGCCGCCATTTTCTATGACCGTCGAACTTTAGATTGACGCGTCGCCATTTTGTGACGCTTTCACGTCACATACGCTTCGTGTTTCCGAATTGTTATATTTTTTTAAACGTGTAAAAAATAGGTGAACTAAAGATCGGACATTTATTAACGATTGTATGCCGCCATTTTGTATAACCGAAAATGCCATTTACATGACACTTCATCGAGCCATTTTGTGATGAAGTGAAGGATCATCGTGTTTCTAAATTTGTATGGTCCTGGTTTTTTTGAACGCGTAAAATATAGTTGGACTAGAAGTAAGGTTAAAAGATTTCTTTATCGCGAGAGAAGATAGAGGCACCGTAAGAGTCGTCATTATGCAAGTCGAAGGATGCATAGAAATCTCCCATAAATAAGCGAAACGAGCAGCTTGAGTTCAATCTCCAGGAAGAGTCCCCTCGGGAAGGTTGAACGTTTCCGGTAGAAATGAATTCTTCTCCTGTGGGAATTTTCGACTGAAAAGTTTGCCGAGGTGAAGCGGTCGCGATTGGAAATTATTGTTTCTTTGCACGATTTCTACGTAATTTTATCGGGAAAAGAGTTACGGTTGAACGAGATTTCGACTTGATTATCAAAGGCAATTTCCAACTTCTTCCGTTCTTTGTGCTTTGGGAATACAAATTAAGACATACCGGTAGCATTTTTCATTGTGTCGAAAGCAACTTCTCATTGTTTTAGTCTGAAATTGAGAGCAAACATCTTTTATTGAAATCTTGCTGCTTCTGTGCGCTGTTCGACTTAACCTAATTTTATGCAATCTTATATTTCTAACTTTTCTAATTAATTATTTTATTCTTCATGTAATTGTACATTCTTTATACACCAGTACGTTTGCTTTAAATTTATGCTTCAATACTTATTCAAGTATTGTTAGTCTACTCTTGAAACTTAGTATCAACCATATTAATCCTGTGTCCTAACCTGAGCAAAATTTTGTGCATACTATGTAGAACAATGTGAAGTTTGATCTCAAAAAATGTATCATTTCTCCAAACTTAGCAGAAGTGTCAAGCACATCTTCAAACCTAACCTAACCCTTGCCCAGAAATCTAAATCCAACCTAACTCTATCATACAAATCAAAATGTAACCTAACTCTTGTCCACAAAAACAAATCTGACCTAACTCTCGCATATAAATTCAAATCTAACCTAACTCTTGCCTAGAAGCCTAAATCCAACCTAACTCTATCCTATAAATCCAAATATAACCTAACTCTTGTCCACAAATCCAAATCTGACCTAGCTCTCGCATATAAATTCAAATCTAACCTAACTCTTGCCTAGAAACCTAAATCCAACCTAACTCTATCCTACAAATCCAAATATAACCTAACTCTTGTCCACAAATCCAAATCTGACCTAACTCTCGCATATAAATTCAAATCTAACCTAACTCTTGCCTAGAAAACCAAACCTAACCTAACTCTTGTTCGAGATCCAAATCTAACCTAACTGTAGCCCACAAGTTCAAATCTAACCTAACTCTTGCCTACAAATCCAAACCTAACCTAACTCTTCCACAAATTCAAACCTGACATCCACTTACAATTTCGAAGCCACTTAGCACGTCTCTAAATAACATCTCAAGATTTACTGATAAAGTTTGTCAAACACCTGATGGTTAGAAAAATTCCAATTAAATCCTTTGACGGAGAAACTGACGTGAACCTTCGATCAGATATGGTCCTCGATAATTGAATCGTGTCACCGTGGTTGACCTAACCTGTCCCCAGTGACTAGAAACTGTAAATAGCAGCGAGACGAACAGTGTGGACTTGCGTTGGCCATCAGGGAGTATGAATTTCAAATTCCAGCCCTGAAGTCGCAGCGTTGGTGTCACAGCCCTCTGCGGCCATCTTTGTCTGCTTCCTGTGGTCACTGCATCGTGACGCCTCCGTTATATACGAGGCAGTATATCAGTTTTATCGTTTGACCAACTTTGGAGAAAAAAGAATGATAATCTATAATTTTGAAATGTGTAATTTTAGGAAAATATGTGATACATGGTGTAATTTGGAGACAAGGTTAAGAAGTTGAAGTTTTTAATTAATGTCCCACGGAGTCGATCAGAATTTTGTAATGCGAGGATAATTTTCGATGACTGATTTTGGTAGAATTTTCAAAGATGCTAATTATAGAAGGAAAATTGTCGAGTGTTTCTCCTGAAACTCAGGAACCGTGAACTTGTAAGAAGCATAATTACAACATGCTAGTAGCTCTCGAGACAAAGTTTACCGAAACCAAAGTTACCGAGGCAGCTTCTCTGGCAATTTAAAGTTTAATATCACGAAAGGTTGCAATTAATTACTATAGAGCTGGAGGCGGCTCTGTATTCTTGATTGGACCATCCGAGTCGCGTAAATTAGCGGAATTCAATGTTTATTTAGTCATGTCAAATGAATTCGAAATTCTGTCCCGTTTAAATTAAATTTAAAATTATGCCAGTTGAATTCAACTTTCTGCATTGGCGAACCGATGGAAAAGAGCCACATTCAAATATTATATTATACGGGCCGAAATAAACGAGGGAATTTATAACAAACTTTGCATAATGGAGTTTCGAACGCATTTCGTTTGGACGGTAGTCTTTTTTATTGCAATCGTCAAAGAAATATTTCGTGAATAAAAAACGCTTTCGAATAACCGAAATAGGAAACGATTCACCTTCTACCAAAGCTTGTTTGCGTTTCAAATTTCCTCTTTCGGTGAAATACGGCGATCAAAGTGCAGTCTGTACCGAAAAGCAAAAAAGTGGAAACTAGATATCGAAACTTGAGAGAGAATAGATTCGTGGGATGATATTTTATTGCGTTCGTTCGAATTTCATTATGTCATGATGTTTCATTCATTTTTAATAGTATTCATGTTTCTATCGGCTTCGGTATTAATATTGATACGAAATACCATGCATCAAGTATCAAGTATTAAGTGTTAAGTATCGTGTGTCAGGCAGCGTGTATCAGGTGTCAGGTATCAGATATCGGGTTTCAGGTATCAGGTGTCAAATGTCAGGTGTCAGATATCAGGTATCAAATATATGTACCATGTATCAAGTATCACGTTGCATGTATCAGGTGTCAGGTGTCAGGTATCAGGTGTCAGATATCGGGTTTCAGGTACAAGTTTCAGGTGTCAGGTGTCAGATATCAAGTGTCAGATGTCAGATATCGAGTGTCAAATGTCAGATATCAAGTATCAGGTGTCACGTTACATGTATCAGCTGTCAAGTGTCAGATATCGGGTTTCAGGTACCAGGTGTCAGGTATCAGATGTCAGATATCGGGTTTCAGGTACAAGTTTCAGGTGTCAGGTGTCAGATATCAAGCGCCAGATGTCAGATATCGAGTGTCAGATGTCAGATATCAAGTATCAGATGTCACATTGTATGTATCAGGTGTCAAGTGTCAGATATCGGGTTTCAGGTACAAGTTTCAGGTGTCAGGTGTCAGATATCAAGTATCAAATGTCGGATATCGAGTGTCAGATGTCAGATATCAAGTATCAGGTGTCACGTTACATGTATCAGGTGTCAAGTGTCAGATATCGGGTTTCAGATACCAGGTGTCAGGTATCAGATGTCAGATATCGGGTTTCAGGTACAAGTTTCAGGTGTCAGGTGTCAGATATCAATTGTCAAATGTCAGATATCGAGTGTCAGATGCCGGATATCAAGTATCAGGTGTCACGTTACATGTATCAGGTGTCAAGTGCCAGATATCGGGTTTCAGATACCAGGTGTCAGGTGTCAGATATCAAGTGTCAGATGTCAGATATCAAGTGCCAGGTGTCAGATGTCAGGTATCGGATGTCAGCTGCCAAGTATCAGGTTTCAGACACCAGGTGCTAGGTTTCAGATATCAGGTTTGAAGTATGAGGTATCAAGTATCAAGTAACTAATACCAGATATCGGGTTTTAAGTGTCAAGTACCAAGTTCTTAATGCACGATATCAAGTCCTACACGTCAATCACCTGACCAAGTACCATGTTCCTATATGTACCTATGGTAAAATAAGTCCTATGGTATTCTTCAACAAACAGGGATCAGTACAAACTAAACCTACTAAAATAAAATACAAAATGCCAAATTCCTGGCACCTCAACTATGTAAACACAAAACAGCAAAATCAAATGTTGCCAACTCCAAATACATTTCCAAACACTAACACCAATATTGACATACCTTGTTGCATTTACATCGATTCGTAATGAAAGTAATGAAGTATGTAAACGAGTTCGTTGCCTCGCAAAATTGTATTTTAAAGTCAAATTCCGAGCAATATCGAAAGGACGTCATTTCTATGAAAACACGTTTGGCACAATTCCGGCAAGTTCGGAAAGCCGCGTGGAAATTATGAAACGTGTATGATTAAGCCATGCAGCAAACAAATTTCCGAAGGCTTGATCGATCTCTGCAGCTGTTCGCAGTCACATAGGCATCGTCGCGTGTTATCGCGACGATTCCAGTTGGCGAAGCGAGCACTCGCGTCGATTGACCTAGAACTTTGGCAAATCTGGGTGAACCAGTTGCCGTTTTGGCCTATTCTATGAAACCTCTAAATCATCCGGAAACGGCTTCCAGCAAGGAGCTTCGCGTGGAAAACGGGCCTTTAACGATAAAGGTCGTGCTAACTCGAACCATTTACGTGAGGATGCTTTAGAATTTTCGAGCCCCCCGCAAAACTAATCCAATTTTCCTGATTCGAGGCTTCTTTAATCGTCTCGCGCAGTTCGAGTCCTTCGAGCACCCAATCGGGTTAAGTGTGTTGACTTCAATTTCTGTGCAGATCGATTTAGCTCGGAAATTTATTAATTTCCTTCGAAAATCAAATTTATTTATTTCTCTTACTCGTTATTGATATACTCGAGGTTTAGAATATTTTACGCTAGCTTAGGTCAGGTTAGGTTGGGTACATTCAATTGAACGTCAGGTTGAAAATGATAAAGAGTCTTCTGGCAGGTTTTATTTAGGTTAGGCCGTGTGTTAGGCCTAAGGATACAATGAATGTATAAATGTATAAATGTTAGGGATAATGCGACAGTCTTATCAAGTTTTAGGCAACGTTAGGTGAAATTCAGGCTTATCTCAAGTACAGTTAACTATGCGATTGCGTGTATTTTCTGTTTACGGTTCACATCATTAAATTTTAGGATCCCTAAGTTAAATTAAGTTCTAGAAGCCAAACGAGAACTTCGAAATAAATTGCAAGGATGTTATACCTTACACTTAATATACATGAAACGCTGTTAGCCGAAAAAGCGATTTCGCGAGGGATAAACCGAAAGCAATAAAATGTAGCAAAGGAACGGTGAATTGCCACCATAATACCAACGTATGATACCGTCCATCCGATTTCTCATGATACGAGGAAGAATAACCATCGAACACCGTAAATGACCCTCGTAAATCAAAGCGTGTAGGAGAACAGTATTTCGCGCGGATCCTACGATCGTTCCCGTGTCGCAACACACGCTACGATAAATCGTGGCGCTGCTAAACGACGCTCGTGGGCGTTTTCTTACTTCTTAAAGCGTGAAATCGGTAAAGGTCGTCGGAGAAAGAATTTTAGGACTCCTGGCATATTTCCTTGGTGGAACACGTAACATAACCTATCCCTATTTATGCGAGCTTTATACCGAAATTTCGGTGCTCTTGATGTTTCTTTGATTCTTCATTGATCGATAAATTAGGGAGGAGACAAGATTTATGCTTTATGGACTGATGAGAAATATTTGGTACATTTGGCAGTGGATTCGGATGGGTTAGGTTAGGTTAAGGTTTTGCAATTCTTGGAGGTATATTATTAGGTATTACTCTTCGCCATTGTAATAGTTAAGAGAAGTTAAATTTATAAAAGGTTAAGGTTTTATAATTTTTAGAATTGTTTTAAACCTTTGACTACTGTATCATAGGGATATAAGAGAACTACTTTTTAGAGAGAGACAACCAATTTAAGTACTCAAGCCAAGTGAGGGCACCATTTCGAACTGCGCATGCGCACAGCGTGCAAGTATGGCCGCCAAAGAACGGTCTAAACCTGCACCAGTATTTGTAATAAATATTTTGTCATTTCTCCGTAACATCTGTATTTTCTTCCGATAGTTTGTCATTTCTTTATAAGTTGACAGGGTAGTAAATTGAAGAATAATATTCTGAAAAATTTTGAAACTTGAAGATGTCAGACTTTTAAATTAGAGGAAACTAGTGTATATGAAATTTCAAATTTCAAAATTTGTATTTATACTTTAACTAAAGTATAGATAAGGACGTATACAAGAGGCGACGAGGAAACTAGTTTTTAGAGAGAGACAGAATATAACCAATTTAAATGCACAAGCTAAAAGAATCGTGAGGGTACCATTTCGACGCGGTATTTCGAACTGCGCATGCGCACGGTGTGCAAGTATGGCGGCCGGCGAAGAAGGATTTTGTCATTTCTCTGTAACATCTGTATTTTCTTCCGATAGTTTGTCGTTTCTTTATAAGTTATTTGTAATAATCATTTCAGTATACTTAAAATATATTGTGTACAGTAATTTTATGTCTTTCTTCAACTTTTCATTCTTGTAAAATTAAACACTTCGAAAGCTAATATTAGTAGAGAGAAAATTTAATACAAATTTCTAATTGAAGGTTGATATGAAATTGAATTTTAGTGGAAGTCACTGTCACCTCCTTAATTATAAACCTTTTTCTGAAGCTACGTTTTAGGTTAGGTCTTTCAAATTATAAAACAAACTGTTTGCAGACGTTTCAAGCAAACATTTTTCCTAACTTACGTAAATGTCCCCAAACTGAAATGAATGTTGTTTTTACAGGGAACATTTCCAGGTAGAACGAAAGCCTCCATCAGCCTCGTTGTTTTGTTTAACTTACGTTTCAAGTAAAACACGGTATAAATTGACTGCGCAAAGTTTTGAAATATAATATGAAACAGTTTCGGGAACAAATTCCATTATGTCCACTTTGCGTATAACGATTTATCATTTATTCAGGTGTTCCATCATAGCCTCGAGTTTTATTAAAACAAAAGAAAAGAAATAAGGTATTAATTGTAAAATGCAAGGTACACTTGTTATTGCGAATTTTTGTTTCAATATTTCAATGTCAAATATATTTTCTCAACACTTCCATGTGTTGACTGAAATAATCATTGACGAAATAACCCTCTCAATATTTAAATTCGTAATAAAGAGTTTACACAGCGAATTTGCAATAAGTAGTTCAAAATGAACACTAAAAGTCCGACAAGGAGATAATTTACATTCCCGAAGCGAAAGGTAGTTTATTGCTCTTCACCGCCTACGACCGATCGTTTGCTTCGTAGACGATGCTCGAACGACTGTGTTTTTTTTTCGCAAATATAAATGAAAGGATGATGAACAAGCGTCCGGAGGAATATTCATGCTTGGACGACACCGAGTCTCGGCGAATTACGAGGGTGTATTTAAAATAGAAGCCAGCACTCTGGCGCCAATTATAAACGAGCCGTTCGACAACAAACGAAATCCAGATGCACCTAACTTTATCCGTTTGTCAGCCTCATTCGTTTACCCCTTATCGCTCTATTACTGGTGATCATGGAAAAGGAGAAAATAGTTCATTCTTTTAGTATCAGTATTATTATTTTAGAAGGTAAATCTGTGGAAGGTAATTTGTTATTGGAGAATTGGGTATTTGGGTATTTGGAGATGTAGGGTTTAGGAACTTGGGAACTTGGGAATTTCAGAATTTTAGTATCTGGGAGCGTAGAGACTTGGGAAATTGGGAATTTGGGAATTTAGCTATTTGGGGGTCTAAAGATTTGGGGATGTAGGGATTTGGGGTTGTGGGAATTTGGGAATGTGGGAATTTGGGGATATGGGAATTTGGGGATGTGGGAATTTGGGGATGTGGGAATTTGAGGATGTAGGAATTTGGGGATATGGGAATTTGGGAATGTGGGAATTTGAGGATGTGGGAATTTGAGGATGTGGGAATTTGGGGGTATGGGAATTTAGGAATTTGGGAATTTGGAAATTTGGAAATTTGGGGATGTGGGAATTTGGAAATTTGGAAATTTGGGGAAATAGTAATTTGGGGATGTGGGAATTTGGAAATTTGGAAATTTGGGAATATGGGAATTTGGGAATGTGGGAATTTGGGAATTTGGGAATTTGGGAATTTGGAAATTTGGGGATATGGTAATTTGGGGATGTGGGAATTTGGGAATTTGGAAATTTGGAAATTTGGGGATATGGGAATTTGGGAATTTGGGAATTTGGGAATTTGGAAATTTGGAGATATGAGAATTTGGGGATGTGGGAATTTGAGGATGTGGATATTTGGGGATATAGATAATTAGGAGACGTAGAAATTTGGGAACATAGGAATGTAGGGATATAGCAATTTAAGGATGGTGTGTGTGGATGAAAAAATATGAGGATGCATGGTTTTAGTAATTTTATAAAACCCATTATGACTTTCCTCTCTTACCTCATTTCCCTAACAACAGATCTAAAAGACTACACTGTATCACATCAGTCCACACTATGCCAGTAACTGCTGCTAGTAACCTCATCAGTACGTAACTCTCTTTTTGCATATCTTCACATACCTGTCCCAGATCCGTCATCAGAAAGAGAAATTTCCTTCCTCATCTCTTCTAACAACACTAACACAGACAAGAAACACAAAAATTCGACTATCTACATCAAGACTACCCGTACCAGCATAATATAGACGCGTCCTAATTGCAAGCGCAGCTGCGATAGTGCACGAAATTAGAAAAGAACGGTCTGCGTCACTCTTGAGACAGAAGGCAATGCAGCCGGAAAATAAAATTAGAAACGCAGCGAAGGAGGTAGCCCTCCTATGGAGGATCCCATAATACTGCAACGCTGTTGGTCCTGTTCAAAATTAGACGGCAATTTAGGCTCCAAGGCGAGGGGTATTCGATTGTATGGACATCGACGCGTCTATTCTATTCATTGTTCGCGGATGAAGCTTTGTCTAGACACCTTTGAGCCTCGTGACGAGCAGCTACCTGTAAAATTAATCGCGTCAATCTAATTTACCAGGAATAATTTGCCCCTTAGGCATTGTGATACACCTAGGAACGATGTTATCATTTGGATGATGGTTAGATCCTTGTAATATGATTTGCCGGGTGCGTCAGGATTAATCATTACAATCTTAAGCATATATACAATTTTGCTGTACTACTGTTCTAATTCACTATACATCTACCCATTTCTTTAAGCCCTTAACCTACAATTTTTTAGACAGTCGCGTCTTTCACAGCTGGCTAATTGCTACAACGTTGAGGCAACAAAGAAAATTAAAATGTTAAGTACATTTTGCCTCCGGCGATCCTTGATTGTACAGATTATTAGAATTGAACCAAAAACAGAAATTCAGTGAAAATACGTGTCTGGTTTATCACGTTCCAACTGTAGCGTGCGTCACGATATTGTAGTGCAAGGTTACACTAATATACAACTGTTCTATTTCTCTCAGACACTATACTACTATTTCACTGTACAACCCTTCTATTCCACTATTCCTCATACTTAACAAAAAATTTCATCTTTTCTGGTTAATCAAAACTTGAGCAACCGTGACATAAAAATTTGACTGGAAGTTAACCTCTTGTGCTATGATTTGTCAGGTGTCTCAGAACTAATCACAATATTAAAACAGGGAAAGAAAGTTGAAATGTTATGTCAATTTAGTATCAAACGACTATGCAATTGGACTTGAACTGCAAATGCGTATTAAAAATTCGAGTAAAATTGATGACGAAGTACGAGTGCGTCACGAATGCGTCACGAGTCAGACTCGTCGAAAGAGTGCGAGGGGTTAAATTGTCATCGGAGAGATGGAGTTACTAGGTGACTGGTACGAGTTCCATTTTAATTCCTTCTTCGTGTCTACAAAATAAAATCTTACTAGCTATATTAACTTTAACATGAAGTGCGGTTGAGGTTATCTAACCTTATTTTCCTCAAAATAGTGCGAGGGGTTAAAGCTATTTTGCGTATTGAAAAGATTTAGGAAAAGTTTGAGGTTCAGAATTTTATACGATTTGTATCATTTATATATACTTTAATGTCATTGTAAGAGTATACTGTAGTTAATAGTTATTATATAGCAAGTATGAAGTAATAGGTAATTGGTACTAAATATTCGAGAAGCACTTGCAAACTAGAAACTTCAGTAATAAATCCCATCACCGCGCTGTAAATTTATCGGTCACTTCTGCATCCTCCAAATACCAGCATCCGCTTGGCGAAAATCTAATTTCGCTTGAAAGGTATCAACAGTCGATACGTCGATCGCTTAAAATCGACCAAACCGTAAATTGTAATTTCCACGTTGAAGCTTGATAGATTGAATCCTGCAGCTCGATCGTGCCAGCTTAGAAATTCCACGTCAGTTCGAAAGAAACCATCAAAATATCTTTCGATTAAACGATTACAACCCTCGTCAATACAATCGCTTCGTAAAAGCACTATTTTCGATTCCACAGAAATCATACGAATGGTAATGCGGTTATTTCGAAGAGGTTGAAAAACCTCGGCGGCTTATAAAACAAGCTTTACACTGTAAATCGGGTTAGAGCCTCCATTTTCGTGTCTAACACGTGTTCCAAGACGATAAAATAGTTTCTCTCACGCAACACGCCCATTGAGAAAAGCTGGACGTTGAATGACCGTCGAATTAGGACAAAATAGTCCGATTGTAATACGTCAAATTTAAAACACGCGAAAGTATATTTTTCTTTGATGTGAATTATGAGATTCGATAGAAAAACGTGGACGTAACTTTGATCGATAAAGTCAAGGCTTTAGGTTCTGAAGTTATAAAGGGGATATAGGGATTTGGGATTTAGGGGTTTGAGCATATAGGGATTTGGGGATATAGGGATTTGGGGATATAGGGATTTGGGGATATAGGGATTTGGAAATATAGGGATTGGGGGATATAGGGATTTGGGGATATAGAGATATGTGGATTTAGGGATTTGGAGATATAGGGATTTGGGGGTATAGGGGTTTGGGGATTTAGGGTTTTGAATATTTAGGGATTTGAGGATGTAGGGATTTGGGGATATAGGGATTGGGAGATATGGGAATTTGGGGATGAAGGAATTTGGGGTTGTGGGGTTACAGCGAAGTAGGGATTTGGAAATGTAGAAATTTGGGAACATGGAAATTTGGGGATGTGGGGATATGGGGAGATAGGGATTTGGAAATGTAGAAATTTGGGAATAAGGGAATTTGGGGATGTGAGGATATGGGGAAGTAGGGATTTGGAAATGTAGAAATTTGGGAATATGGAAATTTGGGGATGTGAGGATATGGGGAAGTAGAGATTTGGAAATGTAGAAATTTGGGAACATAGAAATTTGGGGATATCTAAATTTGGAGGTGTGGAGATATGAAGAAATAGGGATTTGAAAATATAGAAATTTGGGAACATGGTAATTTGTTGATATAGGGATTTGTTGATGTAGCAATTGGGAGACATAAAGATGTGAAGATATAGGAATTTGGCCACATATGGCTTTACGATCGTAGGAATTTAGCAATATATGGATTTTGAGGTCTAAAGATTCGTGAACATAGAAAGAATACTTACCCCCAATACAAATTCTGAAATTCAATAAAAAACGTGAACCTTACGCCAATCAATAAACTGAAGATCCACTTCTAAAATTATAAATTCTAATTTATTTGTCAATGTGAATCGATTATTAGAACACCTTATCTGGATTATCAGCAGTTCAGGTACGCAGAGAATTTTGAGGTTAATTAGATGTGGCGATCAATAATTCCGATGAGAAGGGACATAGTTTGGTCAGTTAGGGTCTCAACTCCAGTTCACCAGAACCTTCATTTCCAAAGACTTTCAAAGTAATATTAAACTCGACATCATGCGAAACGTTTTGACCCAAGAATTAATTTCCTGTCGGTAACCAAAGGTACTCCAAACGGCAACGTACACTCGGTAGATGAAAGTTCGCGAGACAGATTCGTTAACTCTTTCAGCAGGTCTGATCGAAGTAGACAGCCTAACCGGATCCGAGGTGGGAGAAAGTGACGGAAGCAATCGTCGCTGGAATGATCCCGGAAATCCGGGAGGAATCGTGGCTCGATTATCCTTCACACGAGATTGCCCGTCCCGTTGCGCAAGAAATCGAATGAATCTCCCCCTTCCCTGAACTCTTCTTTCGCTCCTCCATCTTCGAAGACTTAACCCTTCCTCGGAATCTGCGCATTCGGTAGAATGGACGACGATGACACGGACGAGAAGCTGACGTTGGTCAACAAGTCTCACAAAGAGTCCAAACTGTTGGTCACGAAATTCTCCAGGAGCTCGAAACTCGAAACTCGGTTACGAAACTCGACGGAGGACTCCGACACTATGGAGTGCGCCTCCGAGAACGAGGTGGAGAACCTCCCCAAAGACGAGACTTCGCTCGAGATCAGCAGAGTCCCCGACCGTCACTCCTTGGACGTACCCGAAGAGGCGGAGTCCCTATTAAATCGTCAGACTATCAAAAGTAGCCTAAGAGTCAGCGAGGAGGAGGCCAGGTCCAGCAGGTTCGCTGGAGCTAAACTGAGCCTGTTCAACCGTAGTCCCCAGTCGTCCTCCAGCCAAGAAGAGTACGAACCCGAAGTGAAGAGTCTGATCAAGCTCCAGAAACAGCAACAACAGAAGCAACAGCATCTACTAACAGCCAGCACTGGCCAGATAACCGCCAGGTCCATGGAGAGTCTCCGGAGCTCCAAGAACTTCCTCAGCGCCGACGAGCGGTACATAGAGGATTCGAAGTCTATGGAGTCGCTGTCCCTGTCCGCAGAGGCTCACATAAGCTCCAGGAGCCAGTACAAGAGCTTCCTGACCTCGTCCACGAAGGACGTCCGCAGGATCGTCACCGTGGAGTCGAAGAGCAGCGAGAACCTGCAGAGGGAGGAGAGTCTGAACGCGGAGGTCAGACGCGGTCTGTTCGCGAACACCGGTTTGGAGAGGAAGATCCCGCAGCATCTGAGTCTACCGCCGCCTTCCAACGTCTTCTCTCTGACCAGTCCAGGTGGCAGCGACCGAAAGATCACCATACTGAGTCCACATTCGCCTATTCAGTCCGTGGAGTTCCAGTTCTCGACGCAGACCCTGAAGACCAGGCGCAAGAAGGCGATCGTCTTGCCGAGGTTGGTGTTGCCCCGAAGCGAATCCGAGGTGTTCTTAGAGTGAGTAGTAAAAAGGTTGAGTAATGTGGCTGTTGGGATTCCCCAATCGATGTACACTAACCCGAGTGTTCGCTGGTAATTTGCGGACGGAGGATACGTAAATTGGTTTTCGGGAAGATCGCTTAGGTTGATAGCTAGGGAAGGTTAAAGGTGGAAATTCTCGTGCATCCAACGGGTATCGAGGGAACATCTGAAACGAGGAATTACTTGCGGTACACGGACCTCGTGTCGGCTGATGATATCGCGTACAGGTTTATATCGAACGATACTGCATTGTGGTTTCAGCATTTTACGGCGCCGTTCGTGTCTGCTGGGTTTATTTCATCAGTTCCGTTATTTGCGGTTTACGTCTTGTGGCTTGTTACGCAACGTCGTGACTCAAGACGGAAGGATTTAAGCTGACTCAGGAGCACAGCTGATTCGCTGTCGTATGACTAAATTGCGGTTTGCTCAAGCAGATTTTCTTCAGATCTCTGGCAACTTAAATACGTCCATAGTACGCAATGATCGCATTGAGGATGATTTATCTCCAAAATGTTCAAGGTACAAAGAGATGGTTTAGGCCTCCAGGTTCAAGATGTAGGCTTCAGAACTATATGATCAGATTCTAGCATTTCAGGTTTTAGCATTCTGCGTTGACTGAAACCTGGGTTCTACCGTTGCAGGTTGAAGATTCAGTAAAAGTACTCGTAATTTATTGAAGCAATACATCTTCCTCTTAGCTCTTATGTCTTCTTTTATACGACATTTCCTAAATTACGAGCCCGTTCCGAAAGACATAATTAGCTTTCACTTAGTCCCTCTGCGAAGATATCTTAATCATCGAGGCTTAAAGCTACAAGAAGTGACCTAGTGAGCAAAGTACCTCGTTCTAAGGCTAGAGAGTCATTTACCAGTGTTACATTTATCTTTCGCCGTCGAAGAAAAACCTGATGCGCCAACTTTTCCAAGCTTCGCGGTCACTAATTATCTCCCGGAGCAAGTTCATTAGCGGCGGAACCGATGCATGAACTTTTGTATGGAACACAAAGGGTTAAGTTGCAGTTGTTTTACACGTGAAACGTTGGGCCATCGTGAACCCGTAGAAGTTCCTTTGCATTTGCAAACAGTGTTTAGAATTAATTTTGTAGCGAATGAGCGATGGTACAAAGTGAACTTTACCTTCATTACTTGTTAACCTGGTAGCCACAACTCGGGAGCAACGTTCCTGTCCTTCATGAATATGAATTTGATGTAATAAACGTATGTTTGATTTATTTATGGAGGAGATGGGTTCGGGAATGAAGGAATCTGAATGCATAAATTTCGAGATATGGAGATCTGAGGTTGTAGGGACGCGGGTTATGTGGATTAGGATGTAGGCATTTGGAGGGACAATTTGGGGATGTATTGGGAACGTAGGAGTTTGGAAATTTGAATATGTGAGAACGTAGGAATTTGTGTAGGTAGAAATTTGGAATATGGGGAATTTTGGGATGAAGAGAATTTTGGGATATAGGGAATTTTAGGATATGGGAAATTTCGGGATCTAAGGAATTTTGAGATCTAGGAATTTTGGGATCTTGGGACTCTGAGATCTAGGGATTTTGGGATTTAAGAATTTTGGGATCTTGGGATTTTGGAATTTAAGGATATTGGGATCTAGAGATTTTGGAATTTAAGGGTTTTGGGATCTGGGGATTTTGGAATCGTGAAAATTTCGTGATATATGGAATTTGGGGACCTCGAGATTTTCGGATCTAGGGATTTTGGGATTTTGGGATTTTGGGATTTTGGGATTTTAAGGGTTCTGGGATCTAGGGATTTTGGGATTTTAAGGGTTCCGGGATCTAGGGATTTTGGGATTTAGGAATTTTGGGATCTAGGGATTTGGGGATTTAAGGGTTCTGGAATCTAGGGATTTTGGGATTTGAGGGTTCCGGGATCTAGAGATTTTAGGATTTAAAAATTTTGGGATCTAAGGATTTTGGGATTTAAGGGTTCTGGGATCTAGGGATTTTGGGATTTAAGAATTTTGGGATCTAAGGATTTTGGGACTTTATGGTTCTGGGATCTAGGTATTTTAGGGCTTAAAGGATCTGGAATCGAGGGATTGTTGGATTTATGAATTTTGGGATCTAGAGAATTTGGTATCTTGAAAATTGTAGGATATAGGGAATTTCGGGATTTTAGGATCTGGGAATTTAGCGATCTAGGAAATTTCGGGATATAAAGAATTTTAAGATATAGGAAATTTAGGGATTTAGGGAGTTTGGGGATCTCGAGACTTTGGTATCTAGGAATTTTGGTGTGTTGGAATTTTGCGATCTAGGGAATTCCGGGATATAATTAATTTTGAGTTATAGGAAATTTTAAAATATAGGGAATGTCGGGATATAGGGATTCATTAATATGCAGACTTGATAATCTAAAAATTTGGGAATATTAGTATTTGTGAACATAGTAACATTAGAATGCAGGAATTTAGGTACATAAGAATTTGAGAACAAATTCAGGAGACTGAATTACAAACATGAATTTGAAAATATAGGGATTTGAGGAGATATTTTTGAATTTAGAAATTTTGTATTTAAAGAAATTTGAACCTCTAGGCACCTAATAATCCAAAAATTGTTGTCTTAGGTATTTGGGGGTCTAACAACCTAGATATGTGACAATATAATTATCTAGAGACCTAAGTATCAACCTTGTACAAGTATCGACATACGTCGCAATTTGCACAGTATATCTTCAATTTACATTAGATCGTAGATTAAAAAGAATACAGTTCATTCGACTTCATTAGACCCGCGTGTTTACATTAATTTCTGAAATGTGTGCCCATCGGAGAGAACAAATAATACTCCGACATTAGACCGATGAAACAAAACGTAGTTGACCCACTTTCGATTCGATGTCTGCAATTTTAATGTTCTCCAAACATTAACAATTATTTTAGCGGCCGCCATAAACGATTCAACCGGGTAATAAATCATTGAACGCCGGTGCAATTTATTTTGAATGAAAGCCTGTAATCATTGGAACATATTAGTGACAAATGAATAGGAGACACAAATGCAAGATTGCCACGATTAGGTTCAATTTCTGTTCGTGTTGGGTTTCGATCAATACGCATTCCCATGTCGGACAGTTTCGAAAATGGGATATGTTAATGGATTGATCTGATTCGACGTCTCCATTTCGAAGAAGCAATTTCCGTTCTCACTGATACGTAAATACGATCGGGGGTCGTCGGTGACCTGTACTGGAAATCGAATATAATCGGATAATTCGATAGGAATGATATTCATAATAATGGTTTTATTGATTGGGAAATGATAGTCGGGGAAATTATTCGAAATATTATTTGACGAAATTTTTGAGAAGTTAAAGTTTTTAGGAAAATTGGAATTTTTGGAGAAATTAGAATTTTTAGGGAAATTAGAATTTTGGGTGAAATTAGAATTTTTGAAGAAATTAGAATTTTTAGGGAAATTAGAATTTTTGGTGAAATTATAATTTTTAGGGAAATTTGAATTTTTGGTGAAATTAGAATTTTTAGGGAAATTAGAATTTTTTGTGAAATTAGAATTTTTAGGAAAATTAGAATTTTGGGTGAAATTCGAATTTTTGAAGAAATTAGAATTTTTAGGGAAATTAGAATTTTTGGTGAAATTATAATTTTTAGGGAAATTTGAATTTTTGGTGAAATTAGAATTTTTAGGGAAATTAGAATTTTTTGTGAAATTAGAATTTTTAGGAAAATTAGAATTTTGGGTGAAATTAGAATTTTTTGAGAAATTAAAGTTTTTAGGGAAATTTAAATTTTTGGTGAAATTATAATTTTTAGGAAAATTTGAATTTTGGGTGAAATTAAAATTTTTAGGAAAATTCGGATTTTTGGTGAAATTCAAATTTTTAGGAAAATTAGGATTTTGGGTGAAACTAAAATTTTTAGGAAAATTATAATTTTTTGTGAAATTAAAACTTGTTCAAATTTTTCAAAATTTTATTAGCAATAAGAGGTGAAGTAATTGATAATTTTGGTAGTAATTTATAATTATTAAATTAGCAGTGCTTAATTAATGATAATTAATTACTTAATTAACTGTTATTAGTTAATAATTTCATAATGAAGATTAATTAATGGAGGACTGAAAATTGAACTGCAAATTTTGTTGAAAAATTCCTGATTATTTAATTAAAATTGCTCAATTAATTGTGCGCCACTTACACCTAATTAATAATTGATCAATAATTATTCAGGTGACAATTAGAATTAAAGTGACAATTAAAAGAAGATGATTTAGAAACAAATTTTATTAAAAATTTGTAATTAATCAATTAGAAGCTGCATTTAATGATTGATCAATAATTACTGATAACTATAATCAATAATTAATTATAATTAATGATGAGCAATTTAATAATGAAGTTTAATTAAAAGCAGAATTAATATTCAATAATTAACTAGTAATTACCTGGCATTTATTTACTCATTCCCTAATTAATTACCAATTAATAACATCAATTACTAACATTATCAATAACATCAAAATAAAAAATAATTTATCATTACAGTTTTATTTCATACGAAAAATAATTAAATTTCAAAAGCACAGTAGCATTAAAAAATAAAGTTAATTTTCAAACGAGAGTCACGATTCTTTTTATTAAAACGTTTGAATTAGGTTCAATTTTGTTCAGGTTAATCTGTATAACGAAGTTATCCGATTAACTCTCCAGCTTTCGCAATATTTCAGTCCCGGAGACAGGAGAGAGGATTTTATTAATTAACTTCGTGCTTCGTTAAAACATCGCGAAACTTGTCGAGATTCCCTTTGAATTTCTTTTTCACTTGAACGCGCGAAATCGAATTACGCCCCGTAAATTGACGCAGTTTGTTCTCATACTGAGATCGTTAAATCGACCAATATTAATTGTTACCGGTTTATTGCCATTAATTTGCATTACTACGTTAATCATAACGCGAAACGACGTGGGGCGTTGTAATTAACGAT